GCAAACATCTGCATTTAACTTCTCCAAGCTTGTTGCTAATGATCTGTTTTTTAAGAATTCTTTTTCTGGGACTCTGTTCTCAAAATTTAAAACTCTGGTGTATGCCACTATATTTACCTAGATACTTCTTTAGAAAAGCTGTTTCCTTTGATCTGGCTCAACTTACAAAACTAAGCATTTTCATACACACTGGTGGAACTGTAAGTTAATACAATTAGGAAAGCAATTTGGCTAACCTTTAAAAATTGCTCCCTATCTCTACAAAAAGTAGAAAAATAAGGGCCGGGCACAGTGGCTCAAGCCTGTAATCCCAGCACTTTGGGAGGCCGAGGTGGGTGGATCACGAGGTCAAGAGATTGAGACCATCCTGGTCAACATGGTGAAACCCCATCTCTACAAAAATATAAAAAAAAAATTAGCTGGGCATGGTGGCACGTGCCTGTAATCCCAGCTACTCAGGAGGCTGAGGCAGGAGAATTGCCTGAACCCAGGAGGCGGAGGTTGCGGTGAGCCGAGATCGTGCCATTGCACTCCAGCCTGGGTAATAAGAGTGAAACTCCGTCTCAAAAAAAAAAAAAAAAAAAAAAAGTAGAAAAATAAATTAGCCAGGTGTGGTGGTACATGCCTGCAGTCCAAGCTATCAGGCAGCTGAGGTGGGAGGATCACCTGAGCCCAGGAGGTCAAAGCTGCAGTGAGCTGTGGTCATTCCACTGCACTCCAGCCTGGGCACCAGAGTGAGACCTTGTCTTAAGGGAAAAAAAAAAGTAGTTTTCATCCTGTTGTGCCCTTTGATCCAGAGCCTCAAACTCTAGGCGTATATTTAAAACAAAAAAACAAAGATATATAGGTAAAGATTTGTTTTCAAAGTTATTTAGATTTTACTACTTAAAATTGTGGGGAAAAAAGCCCCCAACTGAAGACTAAGAAAGCATATGATCCCTAAATGGAATAATCTGCGTTAAGTCAAAGATTGTCAAGGACTTTTTAATGGGATAGGGAAATGCTTATGGTATAATGCTAAAAAAATTGAAACCTTGAAGCTTAAATATTTTCAATCACCTATATCAAAAAAGGCATAAAATATTTAAAAATGTTAAACTATATTAAATAAAATATATAGGAGAGCACTAATTTGAATTGAGCTTCTGCACTAGACCTCAACAGACCAAACCTAAATGGAGTCACTCATGCTAATGTCTCATATCACAAAACCAAAAGTAAATTGTGTTGTGTATCTGATATTCTAAAAAATCAGGAAACAAAGGTACTAGCCAAATTCCTAAATAGGCCAGTCTTAGCCAGAATGATAAGGGAGTCCCTTCTACTTTAACACAAATAAAGTAACTGCAGTAACCTCACCTTAATCTACTTTTTGCATTATGCTGATGTTACTTTGCTCCTGTTCAAGCCCCCTTATAAAAAAGCAGCTGTTCTGTCCTGCCCACTATAGCACCCCTGTATTTTTAGATGAGTTGCTACCCAAATTATGAACTGCAAATACAAGCTAATTAGATCATTTCACTAAATTTGTTGAAATTTTATCTTCTGACAACTACAACCACAGTTGCTACCAGGCTGTGAGATTACAGATAATTTTTTTTCTGCTTCTTTACTCATTTCAATGTTTTCGATAATTTTGAAAATGAGTATGTATAATTATGTCAATTCAGTTTAAAAAAAATAAATCACTAAGAGGAGAGGGAATTTACAAAGGCACAGACCAAAGCTATGTCTCTTCAGAGCTCACAGGAAGTACGTGAATTGCTAAGAAAGTTTCCTTAAGGGAACAGCAGGATGGGGCATGACCCCATGAGAGATGGACAAGGAAGAGACGACAAATGCAAATGAGGGCAAAACCCTTTGCTGAACTTGCCTTAGGGTAAGTTATTTTGGTAAATAACCAATCCAGTTATTTATGCAACCTTTGTAACTGCTAAGACAAGTCTAAATCACTTGTCTTCATCTAGAAAAGATAGATTTTTCCTTACAGTATGGTGTCACTAAGGGCACAACTTGAATTTTAGGAGTAAACTATTTTAAATATTACCTAGAAAGTTTCCTTCTAAAAATATCACGCATCGGCCTCCAAAGTCATGATCAATAAACTGTGTTTATTTAAAATGATGGTAAGAGGACAACAATGACATAATGGCGGAGCTGAGTTTAACAGTCCTTTGCTAAGATCATCATTGATTCGTTTTTGGATGGTAACGCCAGTGTAACCTTAGAGATGATCTAATCCAACTTTCTCATTTTTATAGGTATGAAACCGAGACCAGAGATATGAGAAAACTTTGCATTTCACTTGGCAACTGAAGCTCTAGTCTTTGTCTACGAGCTCAAAATCTCTTTCCATAATGGTATGCCATCCCTACCGTTCTAGAGGAATCCCTCATTAATCACACAGAGAGGTTAAGCTCAGCTACTGCTTTATACAGTGAAATAGTCAATTCCTTCTCCCGCCACTTAGCAAAACTCGAGGCTCTGCTTTACTAATCCATATTCTATTCTTTATTTAGAAAACAAATCTATTATTAGAAAGTAAGTTTATTGTTTGCCAAGTCGAATTAAATATCCATCACAGTTATCTTAAAAAAAATAAGCTTATATCTATACATTTAAATCATTTTGGTTGTTTGAACAGAGCATGTTTTTACATTTAGCCTATTCTGATGGCCACTTGTAATGGCAATAGCTAACAGTGAAGAAAACTAACCCTTGCTGACTCCATTCTAAATGCTTTATAAGGATTATCTCATTTAATTATGCCAATAGCCCACTAGACAGATACTATCATAGGAAAATTAGGGAAAGTGAATGAATTCATTGAAAACACCTAGGTAGACCTGGGATCCTAATCCAGGTATGTTGTGGGTGGCTGGCCCGTGTATTGCAGAATGTTGGGCATCATTCCTGGCGTTTACACACAAGATGCTAAGTAGCACCTTCACACCAATTATGACACTGAAAACCATCTCTGGCATTGCCAGATGTATCCTGGGGATCAAAATTATCCAGATTGAGAACTTTTGCAGTAGGCAAGTCGCCTAGTCTGACATTTTTTTTTCTCTGCAGAATGTCACTAAGCCAGTCAAGTCACAGATTTGCTTTTGTATGTAATAAAGGGAAACACAACATCCCTAGAAAGCAGCATGCTATAGACAGACAATGCCACATGATGGAAGTGGCATTAGAGTTGCCATTGAAAGGTCTGTTCTTAAGGCCAAGTTTTATCACCTAATGACTCTATGACCTTGAATTAATCACATCTTTGAGCTTCAGTTTTCATCTTCCAAACAAGTGTTTCTTAACTAGAAAGAACTGCAATTCAAATCATGGAGGTTTTAAGAGCACAAGGTTTGAAGATCGAGATTTGAATCTTGTTTCAGGCTCTTTCTGGTCCTTACTTCAGACAAATTTCTTTACATCTCCTCACCTCCTTATTCGCATCTGTGTGCTGGAGAGACTGACACCTCTGCTATGGGATCTGTTTATCTTCATTTTCCAACAGCCCACTGAATATCTCCACCGCAGGTCCTAGGGTACTTCAGACTCATTTGTGGTTACCTAAAGATCCTTCTCTCATCCGGATACTTTTTAAGTCGTCCTTGACCCAGCTCACTCTTCCTTAGAGCCTAATTCCAATAAATTGTAATGTTTTGTCTACTCTGCTGTCAGTTAGTTCTCTATGCTGTGGTCCTATGACAATGGAAACCTTGGCTCTCTATTGTTATTGGGATGAAAACCAAACTCCTTATAATGACCTATAAAATGTATACACTACACATTTATTAATACAAACATCCAGCCTCAAACTTGTTTTCCAGCTTCATGTACCATGGCGCCTTTACCTCTCCCCCTCAATTTTTACTCAGCCACACTGAATTTCTCTCTGCTTTCAAACCTCATTAAGCTGTTCATACTGCTTTAGCTTTTAACAATCTATTTCCTGCCTGAAATGTTGCCCTCTTCTTCACCTTACTAGCTCCCATCTACCTTTTAAGGTTCAGTTTATACATTACTCCTCCAAGAAAGTGACCTTAAACCATCCCAGTCAGATTTCCTCATTCTTCCATATTGTTTGTGCATTTTTCCACAGTTTTTTTTTGGGTATCTTTAGAACAGCTTTCATCACAATATTTTGCCACCCTTTAATTCCACTTTAATCTCCCTTATTTCATCATTTCATGGTATTTATAAAAATCATTGCAATGTAAAGTTTTAGTTGCCTTCCTAGAATCCATTTCCCCATTTTGAAAAGCACCATGCTTTTCTTTTAGACATCCATCTCTTCTGCACACAGCTTCAGAGAAAGCTAACCCCAACTGTACTAATGCTGGAGGTATGAAAGGTGTAAAGATAATAAAATTCTTCATGACACGAATTAGTTGGGTAATCTAGGCCCAAGTTGACTATAACAGGACACTCCCTGGTTATAGACATAATGGCAAGAATGTTCGCTGGGAAAGGTATTTCCTCATCCTTGAGAGAAATTCCAGAAGAAATGTGCTCACTCTTCCTCTGGATGTTGCCATATATGCACATAGGGCCTTACATGGCCATGTTCTTACCACCTTGAGGTATGAACTGTGATATGAAGGAGGGCAGAGTTGAGAACATTGTAGAGAAACAGATCTTGATCCCTGGTTAAACAATTCTTGACCTCCAGCCTGCCTTGGAACTTTTTGGTTATATAAGCAAAAAAAATCATCTGTACTGTTTCAGCCCGTATGGGTTAAGCTTCTGTTACTCCTGGCCAAGTGCATCCTACAACTCTAACATATCTCAACCACAGCACTGGGTTTCACACGTGTCTCGTGGCTGGTACCCAAAATACGCTCCAATAAATGGCTAAACCAGTGGTTACTATTCCATGATTTAAGTCATTTAAATCTCAAACTGGATCTTACAGGTTTTTCATTGCAATGTTAGTTTACTGTTATCGTTTTAACGAATTACTACAAACTTGTTGGAGTAAAAATACACATTTATTTTCTTACCGTTCTAGAGATCGGAAGTCTGAAATCAGTTTAACTGGGCTAAAGTCAAGTTGTCGACAAGATTGATTCCCGCTGGACATTTGAGAGAAGAATTTGTTTCCCTCCTTTTCCTGGCTTCTGGAGGCTGCTTATATCTTCTCGATCGAATCACTTCATCTCTTGTTTTTGTTGTCACATCTCCTACTTCCCTTTCTGCAGTCAGATCATCCTCTGATTCTCGAATAAAGACACTCGTGATTACATTTAGAACCTGCCCAGATAATCAGGATAATCATCCCTTCTCAAGATGCTTAATTTCATCACATCTGCCAAGTCCCCTTTGCCATGTAAGTCAGGATTCACAGGCTCCCAAGACTAGGGCCTGAATTTCATTAGAGGTCACTAGTTAGCCTACCACTATTGCCTAACTTAAATCACAAAATTAATGAAAATCAGGCATCTTAAGAGCTTAAAAATATCTGATAGATAACTTCTAATATCTTTATTTTAAAGATGTAGAGGCCAAGACCCAAGGAGGTGACTTACTCAAGGTCACGTAAAGATAACTAGAAATAAGACCTTCTAAGTCTAAGACACGTACCCTTGCAAGTCTGTCATGTTCTATTGCAATTTAATGTGTAACCTGTAATACATGTTATCATAAAATATTTATTGTTTAAACCTAAGAAGGTTACAGTAACTTGCCAAAATAAGCCAAAAAAAAAAAAAAAATCTCAAATCCCAACAGTTTAAATTATTCCTAACCTCTCCAGAAGTCTGACTCAGACTAGCTTCTGGATTGCTTTGTGTTTTTATACTGATAATTTCTCCAGTAATGTTGCATACATTTTCTAGTTTTCACCAACTCAGTCAGTAACAGCCTGAGAATCCCATTACACAACATACTGAATAGGGCCAAAGTAATTTCATCATCCTATATTCTTCCTGTTTTATTTCTGCTTGACTGTCCATGGGGCATAATTATGTTCCCCATTGCAGTAAATCTGTTTTGAATGGACTGAGCCACTCTAGATCCTTTAGCTACTTCAAAGTACACCATCTTTTCAAACATACTGATCTACCACCATTGCACGTGTTTTGAAAAATTTTGTTTAGAATGCCTGGTAAACAGGGCTGTGATTTTCTCCATAATTACACCATTAGACTTCATTTTCTACAAATACATCGTCTTGTAGAAAATCATTTGTGCCATATTTAAACTTGAGTCAGCATCAAGGTATGTGATGGGTGATATTTTTCATCTCAAAAACGAATGAGCTGTTTTCCTCAATTATGTTGTGAGCTTGTTACATGCTGTTTTAAACTAGTATCATCACACAGTCTCTCTTAGTCATTATTGGCTAGTCAAAATGCATAGTTCATTGAATTATTTAAAAACAAATCAATATTAGGTAGGCAAATGTTATTATTCTGAGAAGTCAATTTTTCCTTGTATTAACAACTTCCAAAAGTATTCTATGACATGGAAAACTTTTCTTATCTTATTTAATCATCCCTGATGGACCTCTAAAACAATTTGCATGGAAAATTTTCATGACAGATGCCAAATTCACCTTTTTCTCTTCCTACAGATAATGGAGGCAGCAAAAATGGTAATAAAAATAGATAATTTCTTAAAAGTCTAGCACCTTCTATGACCACTGTAGGGGTAATCAAACTCATCTTTATATTTAATCCTCACAATATTCCTGTAGAGTGAATGTCATTTCCATCTGATGGAAGAGACAACTCAGGCTTCTTAGACTTACGGAGCTAGCCCACTGTAATGGTACCAGTTACCTTCTTATATATAATCAGTAATCTCTAAACCTAGTGGTTTAAAACAACCATTTTTCACTTTCCACAGTTCCGTGGGTTGGCTGGCTGTTTTTTCTGCTGCTACTCCAGGTACCCTCACATGGATAAATGCTGCTGGAGGAGGGCTCAGGTGACACAGCTGAGATGGCTGGGTGGCTCTCTCCTTAGGGTCTTGCAACCTCAAAGAAGCAAGCTCAGTTTGCGCTTCTTCACAGGGTAAAGGCAGGACAAGCCCCAATATACAAGTGCTCATCAATTTATGTTTGAGTCACATTTGCCAGTGTCTCATTGGCCTAAGCAAAATTCAATGTGTAGGGGAAGATGCACCAGTGTGAGGATCCTAGGAGCTGTGATTCATCAAGTGCATTTGCTGAACAAGGAACCACAAGTGCAAGCTAGCAACAGAAAGAACTAACATTCTGGAGCCCTTTCCAGATGTATGGAAATATAAAAGTGATCCATTAATTGATAATCTCAGTGTTAAAATGAACAGTATTAGGCTCTTAATTTTGGAATGAAGCTTTCTCTTTGATGATTTTCAGAGCACAGGTAAATATGAGGGAAATCTGAATTTATAATTTTACTGCTCTATGGTTTCAGCAGAACATTTTCTTCTATTAGGCACACTTCCCAGCAAAAATGATCAAGTTCTGAGAAACTTGTGCTTGACTTTCTCTCATAGGGGAGCTTTGAGTCTGTATCTCCAACTGGCCATCCACATTAATATGTTCTGAATAGCTCAGTGACTAAGCTAGGGGTGTTTTGTATTAAATTAGCCTCTCAGATACTCCTTGTCAGGCCTCAATCTCTCCTGAAACTCATAAAACCATAAAACTTCCTTCAAGTCCCATTAGATACTGACTTGGGAGAGGTAAACAACATTTTGTTCAATCTTGACTTTCCCTGCAGAACTACTTAAGTATGCCAAACCCAGTCTACTTACCCTTGGCTGCTGCAAAGTCAGGTCAAGGAGAAGTCATGTGCTCTATATTTGAGCTTAGCAGTTTCAAGAGAAACAATAGCATTCACCTGGGAAAGCAGGACACCTCAGTGAGCCCTTCCCTAGGGAGGGGAGAAGGGAAAAGCATGGAGAAGACCCCTGGAATGAAACACTTCATCATGGTATCCTGCAGCTAGAAGAAACCTAAGAGATCATCTAGGCTAAATATGCTAAATAAATTTAATTTCAAGTACCACTTCCTTTTTGCTCTAAAATTGTGAAGATTTTAAGAAGTAGATATCCAGGATTGATTTGCAATATGTAGACATGAAGCTGGAGATTCACATCTATGTGCTAAGCATTCACCATCTCTAATTAATCTAATTCTCTAATCTTATAGAGAAGAAAATATATATAAGAAGTGGCTGGTTTAAGTAGGCACTCAAAGTCAGTAAGTGACATAGGTGGAAAAAATGGTAGATAACTCACTTGATTTCCCAATATGGAACCCGTTCTGTACCATATGACAGCTGTATTACGTAGCAGCAATGACGATTTTGGCTTCTTCTCCTAGCCAGCATTCTCCAGAATGTCTCTATATGAGTGTTGTGGGTTTTCACATGGTTTTCATAAGCTGGTTTTTCACCGTCTTGCTTTCCCCTTCTCAAGGCAATTGTAAAATTGCTCAGCCCTTCCATTTCCCTCTTAGACCCAGCCCATCATCAGCAGAAAGTGACTCTGAGCAAAGCTGCATTCCAGAGAAAAGAACGCAGTCCTGTTCACCGACAGCTGATGGGAACGCCAGGGATCATCTTGGTCACCACAATGATCTTTAGTTAAGGCTCATTTTCTGTGATTAGGTTAAGCTTTGGAGTCTTTTATGAATATTCTTTATTTCCTTGTATCTGAGTTGAAAGTGCTTATAAGGCATATACTAGAATCACGGCGGCAAATGCTTCCGGAGGGGAATTTGGAAGGCAAGGAGGAATAAGTGGTGGAAACATCAAGCTGATACATAATCATTCCTTTCCCTCTCTTCCTCACCCCCAGCATTTTAACCTGTATTAAATATACTTGCTATGTCTGAATTAGCTATCATTTTCCTCTACTGTTTTTTTTAATTAGTTCACATGAAAGGTAAAATAACATTTAAAGAAAACATTTAGATAGTATTAAAAGCAATGCTGACAAAGGTGACAATGATCAAAACTATGGAATATATTGAGAAGGGTGTCAGCATGGGATGCATAAGTAGGGAGGAGGCATGATTTTCAATGTGAAGAGAAATTCATGCAGTATGATCTGTCCTCGACTTGCTCACACACAATCCCATCTCTTACCATCCCCTCTCCTTGTTCACTCCACTCCAGACACACCAGCCTCTGTACCATTTCTGCAGCAAAGGAAGACCACTTCTACGAAATATTGCCCCTTAAGTCTGGGGCACATTTTCCCCAGACAGCAACATGACTCATTCCCTCGCCACCTTTGGTTCTCAGTTCAAATGTTACTTCAACAATAAGGCCTTCTCCAAGATCCCTTTGTAAACAAGAACCCTCCCTGCCATCCCTGCCCTCCCTGCCCTCCCTGCCCTCCCTGCCCTCCCCGCTCTCCCTGCCCTCCCTGCCCTCCCTGCTGGCTAACATCCAGCAGTCTCCACTCTCCACATCTTCACTTGATTTAAACTTCTCTTCTTTTTAAAACTTACCACTATTTATTTATTGAGACAGGGTCCCACTTTGTTGCACAGGCTGAAGTGCAGTGGTGTGACCATGGCTCACTGCAGCCTCAACTTCCGGGGCTCAAGCCATCCTCCCACCTCAGCTGCCAAAGTAGCTGGAACCACAGATGTACACCATGCCTAGCTAATCTTTCAATATTTGGTAGAGATGGGCTCTCACTCAGTTGCCCAGGATTTTATCATCATTTAACATATTACATATCTACTTGCTTATTTTGATAAATAATCTGTTTCCTGCTACTAAACAGTAAGCTCCAAGGACACAGGGATCTTTGCCTTTTTTTTTTTTTTTTTTAGACAGAGTCTTGCTCTGTTGCCCAGGCTGTAGTGCAGTGGCATGATCTCAGATCACGGCATCCTCTGCCACCCAGGCTTAAGCAATTCCCCTGCCTTGGCCTCCTGAGTAGCTGAGACTACAGGCACAGGCCACCATGCCCAGCTAATTTTTTTGTATTTTAGTGGAGATGGGGTTTTACCATGTTGGCCAGGATGGGGGCCCTTTGTCTTTTGTGTTTACTGCTGTACCCCTCCAGTTGCACATAGGAAAAGTTTAATGAGAAGACCAAAAGAAGTGGTGGGGAAGAAACAGTTTGAATCTATAAGAGCATTATCAATATCTAAAGTCTGATGTCAATTTAAGAGAGAGCTGGGAGTTTGTGTGATACTTTAAAGTCAAAGCCCAGGGAAAGAGCTCTGGATGAAACTAGTTCAAAGTTATAGGTGGTTCCACAAGCTCAAGGGCTTTTTGAAACTGCGGAACATCAAGGAGTGAGGATGGTGGCAAGTCCACACGTCACTGCTGCTAAGGAGTCACCCTTCCCACTTCTGGAGGGCATCAGGTTACAGGAGAGAGACCCGCCCCATCAATGTAAATGAAACTCTTCTATTTGCAAAAAGAATGCATATCATAATATGCCTACCAGCAAGGAAGAGGAAATAATCCCTACTTTTCAAGTTCCAGAGGGCTGATTCAGACCCATATTTGGAGGTGACGCCTCTGGAGATCACAAAGTCAGACTCCTCTTAATCACTTTGAACATACGAGAAGTTAATATGAACAAAACTTTCAGAAATTCAATGTGTTCAAAAACCATAGAGCTTCTACAGTATAAAAGACTGTTAGAGATGAAAGGAAGCAAATGAGATCAGAGAATAATATAGAGTTGAAGAAACAAAAATAATAAATAATAACCAATATTTATCAAATACTGTGTGCAAGGTCCTAAAAAACATTATCTAATTTAATCTTCACAACTATTAGTATATTGAGTATACTAGAGAATACAGTTCTGCTCCCATTTTATGAATAAGGACATCGACTCACTGTGACTAAGAAAATAAGCCCAGTCACAACAGCTGGTAAAGGGCAGTAACAGAGTATTAACCTGGCAGTCTGCTTCCAAACAATGATCTAGTCCTAAGCTCCACAGAAAGAAGCTGTGCTTTCTCCAAGAGGCTCATCATTTAGTCTTTGACACATTAACTGATGCATCCATTGATACATTCATTCATTCAAGAAGTATTTACTTATCATCCACTATGTGCCAAGTTTCAAGCTGGGAGAATAACGAGACAGAGATGGCCCTTACCCTCATGAAGGTTCTATTTGAAAGAGGAAAGACAGTGAAAACACTAAGAAAAGCAAGGTACAACTTCAGATGATAAAAAGTGCTAAGAAAAGTGTGTTATGTAGTTCATTTTTCTCTTCACTTTGTAATTTTTTTTTCTGTGTTCCTGAGAAAATAACCCATAAGAAGGCCCAGAAGAAAATGCCTGTAGCCCCTGGCACTGAATTTTCAGTGCTTTCCACCCACCCTCACTTCCCTGCATTCTGCCCCTGAGCCAAGTACAGCTGCACAAGCTTACAAGGACCACAGGAGGCCACAGAGAAAGCCAAGTGGGAGACTGAACAAATCATCCAGATAATTTAGGCAGAAATATGTCCTGCTGGAGCCTGAATATTTGGCTAAAGTACTTATTTTGACAAATGATTTTGGTAATTATTCAAGCCTTGGTTTTGTTTTGGAAATTTTCTGTTCTTGAGATAAGGACATGCATGTCAGTTTCTTTTATGAGTGGGGCCATGGCACAGATACCAGAAATGGATTTCTGAGTGAGCCCCTAAACTTCTCACGCCTAGGATTTTTTATAATTAAGATAATTTATTTGTTCATCCAGCAAATATCTAGTATCTACTATATAAGGAAAACACTATGTTATGTACCAGGTAAAAACAGGAATTAACAGGACTAATTTGCAGGACAAATACAAATAACAAGGAATAATGAAGGAGGGAGGGAGAAAGAAAGAAGAGAGAAAGGAGGAGACTGAATGATTCAAACTTCAGGACAGACAGTACATACACAAAGCAAGAGAGGCAAGGTAAGGGAGGGATGGTATGTCAGGTAAGAATTAAGTTCATTGCTTGAAAAGTGATGATCTTTAAACAAAATAAAGGTTTAAATATTTTTCATTAAATGAGAAGCCCAGAAGAAGGCAGCCTAGGGCTATGGTAATGCATAGAATTATCAGGGTCCCAGACAGAGCCCTGACTTTCTGTTCTGCCATAATTAAAGCATGACCCTCTTCCTCGTGCTAGCAAGATGGCTGCTAGAATATGGGGGTTCACTGCATTATCCTTTCTCCTTTCATATGTAGAGAAAAGTGTGTGTGTGTGTGTGTGTGTGTGTATGCGTGTGTGTGTGTATGCGCATGTGTGTGTGTATGAAATGTATATTTAGAAAGTGAATAAAGGAAAAAAAATCCACTTTCAGCTTCAACATATAAACACCTTGAAAGTCATTACTCCGACCCTTATAATCAGAAAGAAAAACAGAGTGAAAATTGACTATTTTTCTTTGACATATTAGAGCATTGGATTCACAGAGCAAATTGCCACCCTGATATCTGGTCAATCCAGAAAGTCTTAGCTCAGATCTATTTACCCAGAATGGAGGGAGGTTCATCAAATGGTAAAAACACACTTGAATGGTAATGTTATGGGATCCTTGGGGTTGTTGCTTTTCTAGTCAGAAATCTCCGTGACCACTGGCGCTTCCACCCAAATTTTGCTTGGGTCTGCTGGACCCACTTGGCCTGGCAGGCTGTGCTCAGTTTGTACCACCAGTGGATTCCCACACCTCTGAAGAGAATGGAGCAGAGTGGCAAGGGGTATGTGAGCAAGTGAGTGTGGGGTCCAGTCACTGCACAGAGTCAGGCACACCAGCTGCTAGCGGTGGAGCAGGCAGCTCCAGGTGCTGCCTCTCTGTGAGGCAGCAGCTGGACAGGGTGCACTGCAAGCAGCTTTCATGGCTGGCATCCGGTAGTACAGTGGTGCCTGGAAGCTTGGAGACTCCAGGAACTGCAGGGCCCCAAAAGGGTAGTCATAGCCCTAGATAAAGGAGCTCCCAGTCTGGGCTCCTCAAAGTGTCACAGCTCTTCCCTCCTTTCTCCTTTTCTCTTTTCACCTTTGTCACCCACAACCTGGCAAGCAAGAGTACATGTTTCATCCCTGTTTGTGTTGCAGCTTTTTTAGACCTGCCATTCAGTGGGTCCTGGGTTCTTGTCCTGTGTCCAAGAAGAATGAGGTATGCAAACAAGTGGAGGGTGACCCAGACCAAGAGGAATTTTACTGAGCAACAGAACAGCTCAGGGGAGATGCACAGTGGGCAGCTCCTCTCCACAACCATGGTGTTCTGACAAGTGTTCAGCTCTCAGCAGAGAGGGTAGCTCCTCCCTGGAGCCGGTTGTCCTATCATCTCTTCAGCTTTTGGCAGACAAAGTAGCTCCTCTCTGCTAGGCAGGTCATTCCAACGAGTATCAAACTCTCAGCAGAGAGTGGTTCCTTTCTGCAGCTGGTCATCCCATCATCTCCCCATCCTCTCTCCATCCTCTGCTCAAATTTGGCTGAGTCTGGGGTTTTTATGAGCCTCAGAGGGGAGAAAATGCATGCTGATAGGCCCATGAGTGGCCATGGGCAGGCTCAGGGAAAAGCACTGCAAGTTCCCCCTCTGATTTGTAGGACTGGCAGCCTGGCTGCCAGGCTTCAGGCCCTCCCAGCTTGAAGGTGGGGCTTCACTGGTAGCCAACCCCTTTCCACTCAGGAGCCTGTCTGCTATCTGCCATGGTTCATGGTGCCCAGGCTGTTTGTGCCAGGAAGTGCCTGCAGTCCAGCACTGGGCTGTTCTCAGCAACCCCTCAGCTCCCTTGCCATGCTCCTTGGTGCCCAAAGTCTAGAGAGGGCCAAGGTGGCAGGGGGCTGCATTTCCAGAGCATGTGCATACTCGTCCAGGCTGCAATAGCACCTAAGGTTGGCCCCATTCTTGCTCTAAGATTGGAAGGGTCCCTAGGAGTAGAAAAGGCCAGGCAGTGGGAGTAAATACCTCTGAGTCTATGGAGGCAAGAAGGGCCTTCCCAGGCCCCCAAGAGTGCAGAGAGATGCCTGGGTACAGAGTTGCTTCT